ATTTTAATTATAAATGATTAACATATAATTTAATAACAATTTTAATTATATATAGTTTGGGTTATTAAACGGTGGGCAACACTTTACAATAAGGTTCATTTAGTTGACATTAGTTAATGTATTTACTAACATGCACTAACCATGAGCAATACATTTGTTACTGCATTTGTTCATCTTTGTTTAATGTTAGTTCATGAAAATACAGCTGTTCATTGTTTGTTCGTGTTAGTTCAGGTGCATTAACTAATGTTAACAAGATTTTAATCAAGTATTAGTAAATGTTGAAAATAACATTAACAAGATTAACAAATGCTGTATATGTGCTATTCATTATTAGTTCATATTAACTAATGTAGTTAACTAATGTTAACTAACAAACCTTATTGTAAAGTGTTACCAAACGGTGTAACTTGATGGCTACATGTTATGTTATAGAAAAAGAGTTACCAGTGATACATAGAGATAATTACAGTCAGAATCCCATGTTCTCTAGTTCATTTTACTTAACAAATGCATACAACCACAACAGGTATTCCTTACATGGCGTAAGTCTATAATGTTTGGGCACGTACGACTTCATCTTACAGTACATATCTTTGCTTACCAGTCAGAAATGTAAAACTAGGTGTATATTAACAGGATCTATTTAAATAGTAAAAGATCCTTCTAATCTGGTTGTATTTGGTTCTTTTACATTTTAGTTCAGACTATAGAAAAAACACAAATTGTGTAAAAACAAAAACAAACAGATGTTATATCATGTACGCAGAGATATGTAACGTTAGATGGAAACAGATGATCAATGGTACCATCTTGTGGTGATTGTTATGCAAATACACAGCCAACAGCTTGAAATCTAAATTTTATGCTGACTATACACTCACCTGAAGTATTATTATAGTATAGTAGGGGAGACCAGGGACAGTTGTAACAAGGGACGGTTGTAACACTTTTGAATTCCCCAATCAGAAACAACCTAGAGTGATAAGACTCACTCTGCTCATGCTCAGGTAGTTTCCCACCATTTTTTTCCAAAAGGGAGCTACAGTTGAAACTTTCTGGCAGAGTTATCAATAAAAAGGTTGTTTTTGAGGTAAAAAAATTACTTTTCTTTCTGATGTACTTTTTTGGATGCTGTTATAAAATAAAAATTGTATTAATTCAAACAAGTATTATTAGAATCACTGTTTTTTCAGCAAAAATAGAAATGGCTAACAAGTGTCAAACTAGCAAGTCAAGCTAGCTCACATGAGATGAAAACATGGTTGGGTGATACTGGGACGGTTGTAACGCCCGTTACAACTGTCCCTGTATCACCAACCAAGTTTCGTTTATATTTTTAAAAACTAATTAAGTTTAAAAAAAAACTGCATAGTTTCCATTTAAGTGGCAAATTAAAGTAAAATGTGCAT